GTGAGACTCTGTCTCAACAAAAAAATAAAAAAATAAGAAATATAGTGATAGTTATATCAAATTTAGATTTTCATTTATTAGAAATAAACTATCTACGCTTCCAGGGTTTTAACTGGGAAAACCAGGCTGACAAGTGGGATCCTGGAACTCTTCCTTTTGTCATTTAGAAACAGAGCAGAACAGTCATAAAAACTTGATTTTTTTAGGCAGGTATGGCAATGCATACCTGTAATCCCAGCTACTCAGAAGGCTGAGGCAGGAGGATCACATGAGCCCAGGAATTTGAGGTTGCTGTGAGCTAGGATCACACCACTGCACTCTAGCCTGGGCAAAAGAGAGATCCTGTCTCAAACAAAACAAAGCAAAACAACTTTATTTATGATTTTTTGTTAAGTACAAAAATGCAAGTGTTATAATTTAAGTTTTGGAAAAGTCCTTGTCTATTTTGATACCATTAACATAACTGCAATCTACATTTTAATATATATTCATTTTAAAATCTGACAAATAATGCTTTATCTTATGTTAATTTGTCATCTGTTAAATAGGAAAAGGCTGAAATTTATTTAAAAAAAAAATTTTTTTTGAGATAGAGTCTAAATTTGACACTCTCAGTAGAATGCCATGGTGTCATAGCTCACAGTAAACTCAAACTCTTGGGATGATTCTCTTGCCTCAGCCTCTGGGGTAGCTGGGACTACAGGCGTGTATCATAACACCCAGCTATTTTTAGAGATAGGGGTCTTGCTCTGGCTCAGGCTGCTCTCAAACTCCTAAGTTCAAGCAATTCATCTACCTTGGACTCTTCAGAGTGCTAGGATTATAGGTGTGAACCACGGAGCCTGCACTTATTTGAATGTATTTTGTTTAATGTATTGTTAAATGAACTACATATATAATTTTAAAATAAAATATATTTTACTTAAAATGACTGCTTTCTCATATACACAAAACTATACAAAAATAGGTTCTTGGAAATGATTAAACATGACCTCTAGAATGAACAAATTTAATACAATGAAAAGGACTAAAAAATAACTTTCTTTTTTTAAATTTTTTTATTAAAGCATAGCTGTATACATTAATATTATCATGGGGTACAGTGTACTGTTTCTATATACAATTTGAAATACTTTCATCCAACTGGTTAACATAGCTTTCATGTCTTTTTCTTAGTTATTGTGTTAAGACATTTATTTATTTATTTATTTACTTTTTCTGAGACAGAGTCTCAAGCCGTCCCCCTGGGTAGAGTGCTGTGGCATCACAGCTCACAGCAACCTCCAACTCCTGGGCTCCAGCGAGTCTCCTGCCTCAGCCTCAGCTGGGACCACAGGCGTCCGGCTATTTTTTGGTTGCAACCGTCATTGTGGTTTGGCAGGCCAGGCTGGATGTGAACCTGCCACCTTAGGTGTATGTGGCTGGCGCCTTAGCCACTTGAGCCACAGGCGCCAAGCCATGTTAAGACATTTATATTCTACATTTAGAGAGATTCACATGTATCCTCACAGGATTAACCATAGGCGTGATCCCACCAATCACCCTCCCTCCACCCACCCACACTCCCCTCCCTCTCCCCATATTCTTGGGCTAAAAAATAACTTTCTACTTAAGAGACATCACCATTATTTTGAAATCAGGGACCCATAAAAAGTTTGATATACAGTACCACAGAGCAAAATTGGATAAAAACGATCTCAGTGACTTAGGATAATTTTGCCTGGACAAATTCAGAGCAAGATACTCTAAAAATGCTTAGAATGACTATCCTAAACAAAACAAACTAGTTGAGTCTTGTTTGTAAATTTTAGTGAAATAGGAAGTGATTCTGTCTTCATACATCATTGTGTCCACAAGCACGATTTATCATCTGCAGAAAATACTTATGTGGAATCACTGTTTAATTTCTAAATTGTTTTAATCAGCATATACACCGTATGCCTAAAAGGGGGAGATACAGAATGCCACCAGTGGCATTTAATCTCCCTTTATAATATATAATTTTTCTTTTAAGCAAGAAGCAAATTTAGTAAGTTTCCTTCCTATTGTAGGACATTTCTCCATCTGTGCTTCTGAATGACTCGCTGATTCACACTAGAACGGGATCTCTCAGACTTAATGGTTCAAAAGCATAAGTCTGACAGGGATTTCAACTTATTTACTGATTCCCCCCGACACACACACATCTTCTTAGCAGTTTCAAGAATTGATAATT